TCACCTTAAAACTTAGTGCCGTTCCAAGCTTTCATTCAATTCAAGTCGCAAATGATATAATTGAAGATATCGTATGAACCCTCTTCAATGGGAGATAAGCCTGACTAATATGTTGGGTTGGTGCTAATTTCCGGCGAGTATACAATGGCTTTAAGAATGGCTGGAATGAGTTCATCCTCAATCTGCGTTGGCTTTAAGAAGGGTGATAATCACACCAACCACCTAAAGTCGATCCTTTGATGAAACCATCCCAAAGATGACGATGCAGGGTGTTATGTCAAAAAGTAATTAGCACGGGTGTGACTTTATTGAGGTCAATAAAACGGTGAAATTCAGAAGAAGTCTATTCCTCAATCATAAATGTATCATTAACTATCTCTTCATTTCTATCATTCAACACATCGTCCTCAATCAAAAGATTAACGAATAGAATATCAGGTGAATGTTAACGACTTTCTCGAACTTCACTACTGCCCACCTTTCTCATTCCAATCACTTTTATTTAAAGGTTTAATTTAAGCGCTATCATTAAGATAAGCAGCCTCCATAGTAACAAAGGTCGCCATTTTTTGGATCCAATGTCAACAAATGATTCGTCATTGTAAAATTCTTGTATTTAATGCTTTGCAACACAGCAGAACAACTTCAAGGACTTAAAAAAGTTGTTGACAGCATGATTATCTCTCAGAAGTTGTGCATTTATGCAAGAAAACCCATTATTTCGGCTGATAACAACGTTATGATGTCCCTGCCGGGTCCTTCGAGCACTCTGAGAGGTATTGAAACAATAGAACGCGTGCAAATCATTTGTGCAAACACCTGTCACGCTGGGATTGGCATAGGGTGTGGCGACGAGCTATAGCCAAATCTGCTCAGGAAACAAGCTCAGGGCGATAAAATTAGCTAGTAGCAGTGAATGACCCTTACGGCCGGTTTGTTCAGATAGATACCACTTGACTTTAACAGATGTTGAGGATGTAAGGCTTTATTAACGAACCTCTTCAAGTTCTGCGAGTACTTTCTTGGTGGACGCTTGAAGTCTGGATCGAACGGATTCAAGAAGCTGTGAGAAGTCCTCGCCAGTTCGCATCTCTGGAACACCACATTGTAGCAAAGCTCACGACATTATGAATCCTACTGTATTAGACACAAACAAGTTTCACGAGCATCATTTGCCATAAACTATTTCTATATGGCCTACAATCACAAAAAATAGCAAAGAAAAAAGACCAGGATTTTTGAAAAAAAAGGATAACAGGTATCGGACCAGGTTTTAGGTTAACGAACCCATTCAGTCCGCCTTCAGCAAACAATTCACTTCACCTGACTATTGAATATTACACGAAAGGTAAACAGAAATAACCTAGACGGACATAGTTTTGCGAAAATATTACCGCTGCGAAGAATTGCAGCAATAGAAATTTGAGATAATATCTGTCGTTGAAAGTGACAATTGTTTTCTTGAGAGAAGTTCTAAAAACTTGGACAAACTGTCAAAGCGGTTTATGTAGGAAGCAAAACGAAGTGTAGGAACTTTCGGACAAATTTCCGAAATGCAGTTCATGTAAATGGTGAGGAAATCTACTTAAGCTTCCAGGAAGCTTGAAATGCGCGATAGCACTGTTTTCAACCATAAATCTTATCTTGAAAGAGTACAAAAACCGATAACGAACCAGATTTTATCGGAGGAGTTGGGCTAGGCACTGTCAGCTCACTTGTGATCTCTTCGACAATAGGATGCTCTTTTTTTGTCTGGAAAGGGTAATGAATTATTTTACGATTTCTGAAGGCATGCTCGTTTCAGAAGCTAAAAATTCCAAATTGACCAGAAAAGAATGCAGAGATGATATAGAAGTTGCACTCAAGGCGAGTAAGAAACTAGAAGACACCAAAATAGAAAAAAAAACCTACTTTAGCTTCTGGCGGTGAGTTGGCTACCGTTAGAGGAGGTTTTTCGATGTCTGAGATAAAGATGCTCGTCGGAGCCTTAAAGCAAGGGATTATACTACCTTAACAATGGACAATGGGAAAAGAAGTATTATTCATAAGTAAGCGGTGAAAATTTGCACCAAAATGGATGAGAGGATTAAAATTTTGCTTTGTGAACTACTACACAGAGCTGGCTACTTTTCAGAAATAGAAGTTAAAAGAATATTTAACACATTGACTCCCCTGCAGAGTTAGATGCAAGAACAATTCCCACAAATCAGAAAAAAAAACACTACTAAACTTACTAAGTCAATGATAAGTTCATCGAGAATTTTAGAACAAGAGAGGGAATGGCG